AGCCTGTTTCGGATTCTGTATCTCCCTCTCTCTCTGACCCTCCTCTGCTCATGCGGTCTCTCTCTCTCTCTTCTCTCTCTCTCTCTCTCTCTCTCTCAGAAATAAATTTAAAAAACAATTTAAAACATTTAAAAAAACCACTATTTCTATACCCTCAACTAGCAAAGAAGTGTTCACTAAGCATCCTCCCAGTCTACTCAAAATTCCATGAGTGCTAGTGAATAAACTATAAGACACTTGGTATGCTCTTTGAAAAGGTGCTACAAATATGAGATTTCATAATTGTCTTCAATATGACAAATGCCAACCAATACTCATAACTGTAGAGAATTTTATGAGCAATGAAAAAATAGTCAGTGTTGTGTTTAGGATGAGGATAACTTAAGTCTGAGTTCAACATTTCATAACTTGATGGAATGCTGGTAGGGGAAGTCTGAGGTAGAATAGTTTCTTCAATATCTATCTTTGTTTTCAAATGATTAATTTACATGTAGCATCAGCATATTTATTAGCCCAGATAGCTAGCATCCTCACACACAGATTAGGTATTTCTTGTGAAAGTGTTGTGGATGTATGAGCCAGCACTGTCTCAGCAGGAGAGGTTCCAGTTATTTTCTGGCTTTGCGAAAAGGTTGCCAAAATGGCCAGTAAACAGAGACAGAGATCAAGAGAGAGGGACAGCAACTAGCAAAATATTTCATTAAATCACCAAGTCCTCAAGACTTCTAGCTCAGCTCCTGCAGCAACTGTTGAATCAGACTCTAACCTCAAGCTAAGAAAGCCCAGCTATTAATTTTGCAATTCCCTCAAGTCATCTGGCCTTAAAAGAGGTGCTAAGGTTGATCTGACCTGTTCGTCTTCAGATTAAAAAATAATCTTTATGAGCATACTACAGGTGTAATGAGGAAAATGTCATGAAAAGTAGAAAGAACTATGTTTCCGTTTAAAGCATGAAAGGAGAGAAATGAAAGAAAATCTGGGACAGGCTGCACTTGAGGAAGCTGCAGACAAAGAGAAAATGGTGGAGGTAGGGGGTGGGGAGAAGTTCCTTTTCCCTCTCTGAACAACCTCACAAAACTTGATTTTTGTTTCCTTTTGAATTTTCAGAATAATAATTTCAGGTTTGGTTATAAACCTTGCTTGCCACACTCAGCCTACATTCTGCTGTTTGAACAAACTTCCAAATGAAATTGGCGGTGTTGATATCAACATGGAAAAAAATTATAAAATTGTCCATGTCCCTAAATGCAACTCATAGTCCACCAAGAGTAGCCACAGTACAAGTAAGAGTCAGAGATCTAAGGATTCTTTGTTTTAAATGTGTATATGTACAACAGATGGGAAAATTCTTACAGGGAAGAAAAACACTTTAAAAAGAAAATTATATATGCCAGCAAATTCAATATATTATATCAAAATTTACAACTCAAAGAATGGAAATCTGATGAGGTAAAATTAGCACTAGCAAGAAAGTGCCCCAAAGTGACCCTGCAATTGGAAGGCTACAAGCTTCTTGGAAAATATCTATTATTGATGTTAACCTTTGGCTGAGCTAAAAGGGATATTCTGTGGGCAACAAAGAGAAGTCTTCCATCAGTACATCTTACATATGTTTCCAAATGGGGTACCACCCAGTGTGACTATTTGGCCCTCTGGTCTGATCACTGGTACCCGGATAGAACTCACTAGTTATTTGCTGACAATGGAGAAAGGACGCTTTTTTCAACATACTCACTCTCAGGTCAGGGCCTATGGACAGAAAGCATCAGACTATCTTGGTCCCAAAGCAAAATTCAGCTTTATAAAACAACCTGCTCCTTGCAAAATAGTCATAAAAATCTGTTTTATAACTGAAAAAAGGAGAGGAGATGGAAAGGGGGATTAATAATACATCTTATTTTTAAATAGCTAATAGAGAAAAGTGAGATTTGTCAATCTCAAAGCACTACTAAAACACTACTTATTATAAAGACCAGAACAAATTACCAATCGAAAAATTAAAATGTTCTTTTTGCATCTGGATAATTAATTTAAAACCCAACTCTAATTCCAGCACAGCCTTCTCTGGGCCTCAACTCCTAAGAATAAATATTTTTTATTATTGTGCTGTTTGCTGGAATATAAAGGGTCCTGCTCCTTTCAAGTGGGCAGGTGGTCAATTAACAAAGTTGTACTCTTGTTTTATCTTTGAAAGCAGACAGCTCCTTTAAATATCATCAGGATTGCACACTAGCCCCATCACTTTTTATTATTCCTTCTGTTCAAACCACATGCTAAATTGTTTTTTTTTTAAAGGACCGCCTTCAAACGCCTCTCCTTTCACCTCTCTCCTTTCAGCAGAAACATTGTAGATGTATAAGAACATAGAGTTATTCCAAAAGTTACTAAAAGTTACCCCCCAAAAACTAACTAATGTGCATTAACACACACACAACTGGAAATGGGAGGAATCCAATAAATTGGAAACTTATAGAAGTTTTAGATTTTTTAACTCAAATTTGGCACATAATGCATGCAAAACAGACAGGGTGGAAGTTCTGGCTTTGGCTTTAAAAATCCCTTGCCTTTCACCAATTGTACCCCAACAAAGTGAGGGAAAGAAAGATAAAGTAATACTATGTCAACTTTTAGATTGGGATTGGATATATTCTGATGAAATTGATACATTTTCAAAAACAGACTCAACAATTTTCTATATCCTAGAGATGAAAATTCTTTGTCAAGTCAGTTTTCTCTTTCACTAGCTCTCATAACCAATGCTGAAACCACAAACCAGGAAAGATTAATATTTTACTTTCTTTGGATACTGCTAAATTCTCACTAGTTAAGGCCATTAATTTAAGCAGGTCTTTTCTGACAGAGAAATGTTTCTACTAAGAGCTAGGAGAAAATAACCTTACTGCACACCTGACGGGAAGAACTTTTTGCTTTATATAGCTACTTCCTGAAAATCTCAGGTTATATTTACAAACAAAAACAAAAACAAACAAGTAAACAGAAGCATCCCTTAAGAAATATGTGGACTACTCCCTTTTATCCCTATTAACTGAGTTAGTTGTTAGGTGGGTTGGGGGTGGGGGATGCAGAAGCTAGAAGGTTTCAGTTTAGCATCATGGTATGTCAAGAATCACCTTAGACATCCACATCCTTTAAAAAAAAAGTTTACAGTAGAAGTAACTAGCAACAACCCTAGGAAAAATAAATTAACCCTACCAAATAAATCTGTTTTTATAAAATGAAAACATTTTATACTACAGTATAACTACATTGCAAAAAATTTGTTTAATCCAAACTAACTGGAGAATGTTTTGGTGATATAGATAAACCCTTTGAAAATCTTGTAAGCCAACCATTAGATTAAAAATCTAATAGTAGGATGTAAAGCTCGTTAAGAAGTAGTTTCTTCAATAGTCCAGAAAATAGTATTTTATGAAGCCCTATCCTTCTCTTTCTTTCAAAACACTGTGCTATCAACCTTCCAAGAACAGAAGCATCAGTGAATGGAGGCACATTGTTGGATTTAAGCCTCCAAAGATGCTAAGGATAACAAAGAACTTTGGAAAAGTCACAGATAAAAGAAAACTGCTAAAGAAAAAAACAGAAGACACAAGTCCAAGGGGACATCAGCACCCAGCACACCTGAGGAGCTAGTTCCTTAGTATTCTCTCCTTCACTGAGATAAACTAACACCTCTGTTTGCTGGGGGGAAAAATCTTCAACAGGATCTCTAAGAAGCTCAATAAATGTGGGAAGAATTTTTAATAAACAAGATGAAATTGATCACTTATCTCATGTCCTAATTAAAACTCATGGTCAAGATTATGGCTCATAGATCCCTAACAGTTCTTAACAAATTTGTTAGAGGTAACAGCTCATGTTTTAAAATGCAAGCATGTCTAATGTAACATTGTATGTCAACTATGATTTTAAAAATGCAAGCATGTTATTAAAATGAAGGAACATATTGAAAAGCCCCACTCCTCCCTCCCAAAAGCAATTTTTGAGTACACTGATATCAGGAAATCCTTAAAAATTCTTTCCAACACTTTTTAAGTCAGACTCAAGTATGGCTATATTAGTCATTGAAAGAATATTCTTTTTATGGATCTGATGCAAACTTGAAACAGGGGACTGTATATATGCCATAGTCCATATAGAAAATAAACACTTTACAAGAGACAATTGACTCAAGCAGCTATTTCCAACACGGTCAACCTGTGAGAGCAAATACTGCCCAGTGTTTACCAAGAAAGTTGTCCTTTGATTTTCCTCTACTTTTGCCTGCTCTAATTGTGCTTGGTTGTATTCTGTCTGCTGACTTGTAGCTCTGGAGCAAGTCCTCAGTTATTGCCAAGGAAGGGACTTCACCCCATCTTCACACAGCAGCCCTGAGAACCCAGGGAAGCTCAGACCTTCTTCCCCTAATCTGGCACTTCCATTTTATCTCTTTTGAGGAGGCAGACTGAGAAAAGTTTGGGCCTGTCTTTTTGCCTTTATCCTGCCAAGACCCGCCACAAGCTGGAGAGCAAACCCTAATACACCCCAAGAGGTGAAACTGCCCATTATTTCCTGTCCAGGTTCTCAGATTTGGGAAGAGGGAGGAGAAAAAGTACTGGATGGCTTAAGAGGTTTATTTCTGAAGGTAGTCCTTGCTGTTGGATTTAGGTTTGGAGCCTTCAGGACATGAAGCACCATGAGGTATAAAGGATTTTTAAGAGACTGGGGGATGGAGAGTGTTAAGGTATCTGAAAGGGCACACACCAGCACTCCAGGGCTCTCAGTGGTGGGGACTGGGTCACACAGCGGGGGTTCTGAGCACAAAGGTCGAATCTTTGGCGGGCTAGAAGTACCCAGAAAGCTCCAGATTCAAGGCGGCTCTTTTTATGGAACACTGTTGAGCTCTTGCAGGGGCAAAGTGTTCTCTTAAGTAGGAGAGGATAGATACCCCAGAATGCCGACTAACTGTAGATTAAAAGACATTTCTAGGAGGAGAAACTTACCGCATGTCCCCATAGGGTCCAGAGTAGCTCTCCATCCAGGGGCCCATCTCGCTTTTGACACAACTGGCACTTGGATAGGGCATTCTGCTCACAACACCGCCAGGATACCATACATCAGGTGGAGGAAAGTCACCTTCCTGGCCTGTCAACCCCTGCTGTGGCCGAGTGTAGCCATAGGGGGTCACAGACCCTGATTCGCCTGTGCCACCGCCTCCACTCCCGCCACAGGGCCCATACAGCTGGCCTTCTTCTGCTGTGAAGAGAGTATGCCAGGAAGAGGAGGCGGTGGCTGAGGGTGAGCCTGAGCCAGGTCCCGCTGCACCCCCGCTATGAAGGCTCGCCAGGTCCCCGTAGCGGCATTGTGCAGCTGCGGCCGCCCAGGCACTACCATAGTCCAGAGGGTTTTCCAGCTTGATTCGGGCATGAGGATGGGGAGGGGGCGGAGGGGGCGGCGGCCCGGCCAGGGAGAGCTGAAAGTTGTAGTAGTCGCGACTCTGATAAGCTGCCGCTTCATCTAGTGTCCCAGACTTGTAGAGAGAAAGGGTGGAGGGGATCTCAAGTGTTCCAGAGCCCCCTGCCTCACTGCTGCCAGAACAGCCCAGGCTGTCGCCGTCCAACCCTTTGGCATAACCTGTCTTGAAAGGGGAATACTCAGCAGTTTCTTCGGTGCCCTTGTTTGGGCCGTCATCCAGCACAGAACCTTTGCATTCGGTCAGCGGGGCGCAAGGACACACAGGGGGTGGACCTCCCAGGAGTGGGGCATACATGCAATCTCCCCGAAGCTGCTCCCCAGGACTCAGATGTTCCAATGCCTCCACACCCAAGCCCATGGACACTGACACTGCCTTACACAACTCCTTGGCGCTGTCTGAGATGGTTGAACTGCCCCCTAGGTAACTGTCCTTGGAGGAGGTGGGAGCACCAGCGGCCTCCCTTGCTCTCCCACTGCTGCCGCCTTCGGACACCACCTCCTGCTGCTGCTGCTGCTGCTGCTGCTGCTGCTGCTGCTGCTGTCGTTGCTGCTGCCGCTGCCGCTGCCGCTGAAGGAGTTGCATGGTGCCGGCCTCGCTCAGGATGTCTTTAAGATCGGTAGAACAGCTACTTAAGCCCGGGAAAGTGGGGCCCAGCAGGGACAACGTGGATGGGGCAGCTGAGTCATCCTCGTCCGGTGGTGCTGGCTGCTGCTGCTGCAGCCCCTTGCCGGTGGCTGAAGCAGCTCCAGGCTCTGGAACGCAGCCACTCTCTGGATGGCCCTTGGGCGCTGATTGGTGTTGTGAAGGCTGCTGTTCCTCATCCAGGGCCAGGTAGCCTGTGGAGCCTCTGCTGTGGTCTTGAGGAGAGCCATCCTCAGGCTGCTGCTGCTGCTGCCGCCGAGGACTGGTTTCCTGGTGCTGCTGCTGCTGCTGCTGCTGCTGCTGCTGCTGCAAACGGGCACCGGGAGGTGCTGCGCTCGTGGCCTCAGGGTGCCTGGGGCCCGGGTTCTGAATTACTTCGCGCACGCTCTGGAACAGGTTCTGGAAAGCTCCTCGATAGGTCTTGGAAGGCGGCCGGGGGTAGACCCTCCCTAGCCCTAACTGCACCTCCATCCTTGAGCTTGCCTGACTCTTCCACCTAATTCCTTTATCCTGTTTCCCCTTCTCCAGCTGAGAAGAGTTCAACAGGCTGTGATGCGGTAGTCGCTGCAGCTAGCTGCCCACCTGTGGGAAGCTCTTGGGAAGAAAACTTGCAGAATAACCATGCAAAAGCACTCTGACAGCCTCAAAGTCTCCCGCACAGGGAAACACGCGCTGGACACGATCTACCCTGCTAGTCTGTTACAGAAATCTTGGGACGGTAGATTCAAAAGATGCCCAAGTCTTGAAGGAAACAAAACAAAAACAAGGAATACCCTCTGCCTTCCAAATTCAATATCCACTGAAGCAGGTGCAAATAAGAACCGGGTTATTCTCTTTTTGTTTTATTTTGGGATTGGGGGTCGGTTTTGCTTTTGTTTTTGGTTTTAATGGTCTACTGAAGCCCTGACTGCCCTTTCATTGTTTGGTCTCAGGCCCTGCAAACTGGAGGGGGTGGGGATGGCTGCTGCGTGCAGAGGGAGCTGGAAAGGGAATGAGGGGAACCTGGGGGCCTGCCCCGTGTACAGCCTAACTAGCCAGGTCACAGCTGCAGCGCTGAAGCGGTTCACCGGTCGCCTGTCTCCCCAGAACCGTCTTTGTAACTTGCAGCTAGCTTTCCTGCTCAAAGCCAAAGGGAGTTACCTCTCTGCAAACTCGGGCTGGCCGCACAGGGCCGACTGGGGGTGGGGGGTGGGGTTAGGGGGACGGGCAGAGAGGAGCTGCAGAGAGAGCTGCAACAGGAGAGGAGACCCAGAAGGGGGGATGGGACGGGGTGGAGGGGAGGAGGACAAAGGCAGCCGTCAGTCCTACCCAGCACTTTCCTTGCTTCCTCCGAGTCTCTAGCTGATTTTAAAAACTTCACCGAAGAGGACAGGGCAGCTCTGGGGCGGCGGCTTCAGCCGCCGCGCTGCAAGAAGCTTTGGCAGTCGCCGGAGCCCAGCTGGAGTTGATGCGGTAGGTCCCTTCAGCTCCTGTCCCGCACTGGAGCAGCTAGCTCGGTCGCTTTCCTCTTTTGCCTCTTCTGCCTCACGGCTTGCTCGGGACCCTCCAGCTCTCCGGGCACGCTGGCTCACTGGGATCTCAGAAGGGGCGCTGGGAGGTGGAGAGCAAATGCAACAGTTTGCTAGTCGGGTCCCGCCCCCGCCGGGCCGGCCTCCTTGCGTTCCCACCTCCTTTCTCTCTCCCCTCCCCTTTCCTTTTCTCCCCTCCCCTTTCCGCGCGGCAACGCTGGGTGGCTTTGGAGAAATGATTGCTGGCGCAGCGTGGGTGAAGGCAGGAGAGGATTGTTCTAGCTTGGGAGGACCTTAGTTCCCTGAATACCTCCTACTTTCGGGGACCAAGCTTTAGGTGCGGGAGCTGAAGCTTTAACCCAGAGCTTTATCTTGAGGACAAAGCTAACCCCAGCTCCCGGAGGCCAGCACTAACAGATCTGGTTCCGAAGTCCAACCTCCAAACTGACTCTGTTTGTGTGGGAGGGGGAAGGGAGTAGGTAGGGGGCACTAGGAGTACCATCGCTTCAGGCAAGGGACTTTGTTCAGAGGAGACAGAGAAGCACAGATGGGCGGTAGACTCTCCTACAAACTGAGGAACGAGCTGTTGCCAAGCCAGGCTGATACTTGCTGACACCTTTCAAATTTCTCCTTAGGGGTAGATTGGGCCTCCTGGAATGATGCCAGTTGCTCTAGGAACCTTCTGCCTAATAACCAGAGGTCATCTCTACCCTATTCTCTTACTGTTTTCCTGCCTAATTGCCTCTAAACATACACTTCTCATCTATCCAGACTTGCAAAGGTGCTATCACCCAGAGAAGCAGGCATACACACAAACACCAGATACGTTGGTCATGTACACAGGGATTTTGACCAAGATTTTGCAGACGTTTGCTTATATACAGCACTTGCTTTTCCAAGTTAACTTTGCATATTTTAAGTTTGCAAACTGCACTTTTCAAGGAATGGAAATTACATAGGACTGTTTTTCTTCCTCTTGGTGGACAGCCAGGAGTGGAGGGTGAAGTGGGCTATTGCAATTGCTCCTTTATGGAGGAGGTACCATAGTCTCTCTGTAAAGATGGAGAGGCAGATGGGGATGCAAGTGTAGAAATGGAAGGGTAGACCTATGGGAAAGGAGGTTTCCCTTTCTGTCAGCAGGGTCCCTGGGACTCCCTTGGGCAGGGTCTGTCCCTCCTAGAATGCTGGTAGAGATTTCTGCCTGGGAGTTTTCTACGTTTTGCAGGCTTCTAGAGTCTTGTCTTGTTCACAGCCAAGCATCATGGTCATTTAACTGACCAAAGGAGGTAATTTAATCCTAAAAACAGGGAAGAGTGTACATGATCAACTCTATTTTCCAGATGAAGACACTGAAGCAAGAACGTAATTTTTCTATGTTTCAGCTTAGTAGAACCTAAACTAGTCTTCCATCTCATTGCTATTTTGGCTAGATAAATCAATGCCAAGGGCACTTGGACAAGAGCCTTAAATGAAACTTTCAGAACACATCGGCCTAAGGAGCTCTTTACCCTACCTAGGTGGTGAAAATTATCCCCTGATATGTTAATGGCTTCAGCCCTACCTCAATGTATCCCAAATATACCACCCCCCTACTCTTTGTTAGTGAGGAATCTCACAAATCACTCCTTATGGTAAAGAAGCAGCCTTATTCTTAGAGATGTCAAATTGTAACAAGGCTAATTTACAATTCCCTATTACAATAGGAAAAAAGAATATGTAATTGAAATGCACAGATACTTTGAAAATCTTATCACAACCTCTAGTTCCACCAAAGCTTTTAAGTAAGGTTGCTTAAAGGGAATTTAATCAGCTGGACAAAGAAGAAAGTAGAATGGAAATAACATAGGTGTCAGAGCTAAGAGAACTGTCCACAGACTGGCAATGAATCTCTTCCTATTCCTCAGGTTCAATTTCTTGTTCTGTGAAATGGGGAAAGGAGACGGTAGAAAGGCTGGGCCAGATGGTCTTTCTGACACTGACAATTTAGAGCACTGTGGCAGACTTGAATTTTCTTCTTATTTATACCCAATAGAGGGTGAGTATGGAGGAGGTTCTAATGATAGTTAAATGAACAATGGATGGGGTAAAGAAGGTGGTTATAAGCAAAGAAGCCTTAAAAAATTAAGTTGTAAAATTCTCTAAAGTTGCCCATTAAATAAGTGGCAGCTCAACAGACATTTAAACCCAAATCTGAAGGATTCCAAAGTCCACATTGCTTCCACAGTGCCAAAATCGTCTTCACACTTTTTTCATCAGAAAATTGTGGCCAATAATACCTACCCTCAGAAGACTGAAGTGGTAGTTAAAGAAGATGATGGAACAACTTTGTAAACAGAAAAGTACTCTACATATCTGAAGAATCACATTGTTATGTTTTATTTTTAAAGGGGTGCTATCAACATTGATATTATTGTCAGGAAAGGCTAACTACTGTGAACATAATAGGGCGTCCTATTATTTAGAACTTTACGCTAAATTTTAAACTCTGATCTCCCATCTCATTTTCCTTCCATCACTTTAAAAAAGATCAAGGGACACTGTTGAATATTACATAAATTATGTGCTTATACCATCTTTTTTCCTTCTTTTCCTTTTCTCTTTCTTTTCCTTCTTTTTCCTCTTTTTCTTCCTCTTTTCCTCCTTCTCTTTCTCCTTCTTCTTTACAATTTCTTAGCAACCAAATTAGCAACCTGTGGTGTCCTCTCAGGACAGTGAAGGTGAGGTTAACTTTTTGCCATAGGCTTTCTTTGCAGTTTTAAGAGAGTTTTGTTAATGTAATTTTTCCTACCTACTTGCTTTGGAAAGCCAGGATGAACTGACCTTTGGAAAATGGTGGACATTCTCCAACTCTTATTTTATTTCCTAAATATCTCACAAATCTCTTCACCTTTCTTCATCTCTGCTACTGCCAACCTAGTTCAAGGCACTTTCGTTTCTCACCTGGACCACTGTAAATTGTCTCTCTTTTCACTCTTACTTTCTTAGAAATCACTTCTGCTTTGAGCAGCCAGCGGGATTTTTAAAATTAAGATTTAAGTTTTTAGAGTAGGTTAAGGTTCCCTATATGTATACCTCCTGAACCCATACATATAGCCTCCTCCATAATCAACATCCCCAACCAGAGCAGTGCATTTGTAACAACTGATGAACTTACATCGATACATCATAATCATCCAAAGTCCATAGTTTACATTAGGGTTCACTCTTGGTGTTATACATTGTGTGGGTTTGAACAGTTGTAAATTGGCATATATCATTCCTTATAATATCATACAGAGTATTTTCATTGCCCTAAAAATATTTTCTCCAAATATTTATCCCTCTACTCCTCCCTGGCAACCACTGATTTTTATACTGTCTGCATAGTTTTACCTTTTTCAGAATGTCATTTAGCTGGAATCATACAATATGTGACCTTTCTGATTGGTCTCTTTCACTTGGTAATATGCATTCAAGTTTCCTCCATGTCTTTTTGTAACTTGATAGCTCATTTCTTTTTAGTATTAAGTGATATCCCATCGTCTGGACATACTACAGTTTATTTATCCAGTCCTCTACTGAAATATAACTTGGTTACTTTCAAGTTTTGGTAATTTTGAATAAAGTTGTTATAAGTATTTTATGTAAGCATTTTATGGACATGTTTTCAACTCCCTTGAGTAAATACCAAGGAGCATGATTGCCGTACCATATAATAAAAGTATGTTTAGTTTTGTAATACACCGCAAAACTGTCTTCCAAAGTAGCTGTACTGTTTTACATTCCCACCAACAATGAATGAGAATTCCTGTTGCTCCACATCCTCACCAGCATTTGGTGTTGTCAGTCTAGATTTTGGTCCATGTTTTGTCCAGATTTTGGTCATTCTGGACCAAAAGTGGTATCTCATTGCTGTTTTAATTTGAATTTCCCTGATGAGATATGCGGTGAAGTATATGTTTTCATATATTTATTTGCTATTGA